AAATCCTCGACAAATCCCGAATGAATTCATTGAATATCGGAATCTATAATTTCCTGCCTCAAGAGTTCAAGATTCTCAATTATAACTGCTTCAAATTGAAACTGAAAAGACACATGCTGTCCCATTGTTTTTACTCTATTGATGCGAATATCTGAAAACACCCCCACTTCTCGATAATTTGTGCTGATTACATTTCGAAAACAGCAAAATTTATATTTTAGATTTGTTAGATTTGTGAGAATGTTGTATGTAGGGGGAAACCGCTATGAAATGGACGGGTCTTGAAACGGACAGTTGTCGTAGTTGCTATGTGTTTGTATGACCGCATATTTCATATTCACATATGGCAACCCTGTACCCAGATCCCACTACGGCCGTAATTGCGCGCCGACGCAGTTGATTATGAGTCGACAGCATGCATGTTATTATTATCAGGTGAAAAAGTAACAAATTTGTGAAAATAGTGAACTGTGTCACAGGTAAGCTGTTGAAATTAAGTCAAATTCAGATTGATGAGATTAAAACTATAAGTTACTCTAGTACATAAATGTAGAGGTAGATCTCGTGGAATATTTCTCAATTTAATTTTCGTAATGTCATTTTGAGATTAACCGTGTGTTGTTTTGAAGTGGACATCAGACGCTGTGTTGAAGCGGACGTCTGATTCTGATGATGAAGTTCCGCTGAGTCAACATTCCCGACTTCCAAAATCTAAACCAAACAATAAACAACACCAATTCATACCAAAGGAGAACAAAAACCCTAATACTCGAACCAAAGACGACAATACTGCGATTGAACAAGATAACTGTGAAACTTGTGGCCTTCAGGGTATTCGACATTTTTATTGTAATAACTGTTCCTAAGATAGTTCCTGTTCGAATAAAAGTTATTTTTGAAGCAATTAATGTTCTTTATTGCGAATAAAATTTTCAAAACCACTACTGTCCTCTTCAAAACCTTCACTGTCCGTTTCAATACATCGATGTTTTGAAATGGACGAAAGCAACTTTTTTCGAATTTGAATATTACTCAGTCCATGAAGTTGTCTGAATTATTTTTTCAGTTTATTTTACAAACATATTGATGGAACTTTCCGCTCATGCAGTTTTGAATAATTTAATGGTCTATAAAATTTTGATTCCATTGTTTTTCTTAAAGTGTCCACTTCATAGCGGTTCTCCCCTATATGTTTGTGATAGCATTGGTGTATATTTTATTTTATTCTGTAATTGTTTTTGAAAAACATTTTGTACTTCCAGTGCATGACTTGCCAAAAACATAAGAATTGTAACTTGGTCAAATAAAATTCCATTGTATTCTATTCTATATTTATCAATATTGTGTCTTGAATTTGATAAGATAGTTCCGAGATGGTTCTGAACCAACTCGAAAAAAATATACTCACACAATAAATGAAGAAAACTCAAACTTTTCACGTTCATCAGATAACATTGTGTGGTTTGAAAGTTATTCCTCGGTGAGTATATGTGTATACTAATTATGAAATCGCCTTGTATATAGAACAGATGGTTTTAATGAGTATGTACTTAGTTGATTGATGATTCCTTATGATTTTAGATGATTTGGGGAGTTAAATTCCGTAAAACACAGCCGCGGTCGCCAAGTGCAAATAATTGCTTATTAATTAGGGCTACACGGAAAAAAATCATCTGGTTAGTATAGGCACAACCAGATATCTTGTGACACTAACCATTTTTTATTGTTACTATAGCCAGATTATCGTTATAGTTACCATCTGATATGGTGACAGCAACAATGTGTATCTGGTTGTGCCTATATTGACCAGAATATTGTCACAGTAACAAAATTTTTTCGCCGTGTAGGGCTATAGTGCAAATACATCTTTCGGTGATAGGCACTCTCAAATCTGTGTAATTATATACCTACAAGGGTGTCTCAGTCAGTTTCTCATTACTTCCAAATCCCAAGTCATATGGATGGAAATGTGAGAAATTAAAAGGGGTGCAAGCGGGAAATCAGGGCCATTTGATGAATGTAAATAAATGCCTTCTGCCATTCTATCTTACCTTGAAATCCTTGGATGAGTGATAAATATCCAAGCAAACATATATATTAAAGTTCCAGATTCTTCAAATACTCAATATTATCAACAAAGTCCAATTCCTTTTGATGATATTACAAGAATTCCAAAGAATACGAAAAACCATTCGAAGAGCTGTAAAGACGTCCATATAGGTATGCATCAGTGACGAGATCAGTCACTTCCAACAATTCGCAGAAATTCCTGGTAAGTACTTCAAAGACTTTCAATTCTATCCAAAGAATTCACCAAAGACATTCCAAGCAATCTAAAGAATTCTAACGACTTCTGTGTTCAGTGACTATACTGACTTCTATATATGAAGTGAGTCTATATAATATAATCACGTATTTCAAATACTTCTAACGTTATTGCTCAATTATATTCTTCTGAAGACTTTCTGATATACTCCCAAACAAGCTCCCAAACAATCTCAGATATTTATAATCCAAGAATTCCTATATTAGCCAAAGATGTCCAACAAAGAGTCCAAAGAATTCCATCACAGAGACGTCCTGTGACTTTCACCAGTCTTTCAGACAATAATTTTGGCAGGTTTCAACGACTTCCAATGGCTTCTAAAGATGAGTCTAAAGACGTCTAAGTAATGACTTTTGTTTCCAGATCGTTCCAGTATACCTATGACTACCAATTACTTCCAGAAGACATTCCAGGTCGTAATTCAGAAGTATTCTATAAGGGCGTCTATGGAATACCAGTTATCCAATACAACTCTCACAAGCATCCAGACAATTTTAGTATAGGTTTCAAGGACTCCCAAATCGATTTACAATGACTTCTACGGACTAACGACTCGACTAACGACTTTGAAAACTTCCAGAAATGTTTCCAGTAAGTTCCATAGTAACTTTCGATTCCTTTCAAAGACATCAGTTCAGTCAAGCGCGTATCTGAACCTACCTATATCAACTATAATAGCAATGACTTCAAAAGACGTATACCTATAATGACTTTTGAAATCTTCGGATATCTTTACAAAGAGTTTCAGTGACTGTCAATTAATATTTCCCTCGATATTTTCGAAAACATTTCAGCTATCTTATTTCAGAAATTCAAGAGTATATTTTTATATAAATTTTTAAATAATAATATGTTGAGGACATGGAATACCATCAGAGATATCTAGTGACTTCCATCAAATACTCGTTCATCCAACGAACAGCGAGGCTCTGGAACACATTGCCAAGGGAGTTGTTCCCCGAGGCATATAACCTCCAGAAATTTAAGAGGAACACCAATTCCGAGACCAATTCCTATATACCTCATTTCCCTTGGTTCTCACGATGTTCTCTGAACATTACAGGATATCCCTTTTCGTGGGAACCAGAACATAAAAAAGGCTTCCAGACAATTTTAGTGGGTTCCAAGGACTGCCAAATCAACTAACAATAACTTTCAATTCCTTCCAAAGATATTTCAGCTATAGTATATTCAAAGGATTCAGAAGTATTCTGACGACGTTCATGAAATACCAGAGACATTCAATGGCTTCCAGAGCTCGTTCCACAGGCATCCAGGCAATTGACTTCCGAAGACCCCTAATGGATTTTAAAAACATCCAGATATATTTCCAAAGAGTTTCAGTTATTCTCTCGGTTATTCTTAATTCCTTCTGAAGACATTCCAGCGCATTCCAGCCATTCCAGCTGGCATTCTAAGAATTCAAAAGTAATATATAAGAGCGTCCTTTTGGACTACCAGACATCCAGTGACTTTCACAGGCTTCTAGAAAATTTCATTATAGGTTCCAAGGACTCCCAAATCGACTACCAAAGACGTTTAATGAATTTTAAAAGTTTTCGGATATACGTTTGCAGAGTGTTCCACTATGAATTTCGATTCCTCCAAGAGACATTTCAGCTCATATTATAAAAATTTAGATGTTGATACCTACTCTAAGGACATTCATGGAATCTCAGTAGGTACCTATACTTACTTATTCCAAATGATCCTAAATAGGTCGAAAAAATTCAAACTTTCGTATGAATAAAGATTGAAGAACCATTATTTGAATAGGTTATGCATCAGCTGCTCATAGGTAAGTATAGGCACCTATACCTATAGGTATAGGTAATTATTTGTCAAAAAACTTGACTTAAGCACAATTCAGCGAGATAGGTATACAGTACCCGAGCGTACCTATATATACACCAATTTGTCGCATTTTCTCTTTATTAACAAAGAAATGTCCCTTAATCCGGGCCTGTAAGGTCTACATAACAAATAAATTGGAATTACGCCTTAAGTATAATTATTATCAATTCTTAACCTCACAGAAGTTGGTTTTTGAATTGAAGTCATTAGCATTGAATTAAAGGGACAATAGCAATAGGTCTGACAAAATGGAATATCAGGTAAAGGTGTCCATTTATACTTATAAGCAATAATTTCGCTTGTTGTTCCACTTGTTCCCATGCACTCCGTTTGTTTATCTCAATCTCAATTCATTTTCATCAATAAGGAAAAGTATATTATTCCATTTTTTTTTTGCAATTGCATTACCCCGTTGGTCCTAGCACTCCCAGCACTGGGACCAAACGCCCCATAAGTCGAAACTTGTGCGGGGTTATAGGTAGGTAAGCATACAGACACAAACATCCATGGCCTAACTAGGATTCGAACCTAAGTCTCGGTGAAACAATCTTTTAAAAATAACCCATATATCCTGGTAATAGGTACTTCCTAGTCGAGATCGTATATTCATAATGAGATCCATTCAAAAACAAACAGGTGAATGACGCTGGGTTCCCCTCCACCCGTCCCAATGTCACCGAATCGAAGTGAAATCTCCTGAAGACCTGATAGCCGAGAGCGAGAACGCGTAGGTAGGTATTCGACATTGCCCTGGTCAAAGGTCTTCGCCGTCCTCCCATCAGTCGGTCCAGACCAGAGACAACTGTGCCGAGATGCTTACCTTCGCACGTGAACTGTCCGTAGTGCTTCCCGGAACTTTTGTCCCCGCACACGACACACTCGATGTTCTGGTTCTTATCGACACTGTTGGCGCTGTTTTGTGAGTTCTGCGATGGCGTTTGTCTGCTGAGGAGCGACCCCTCGGCACCTTCCAGGGTCAGCGGGTTCAGGTTCGCGAGGCTGCCGTTCGGCACGGGGTTGAGTCCGTTCACGGGGTTGACCAGCGAGGACTCGCGCCAGGAGCTCGCTACCAGAGCCATGGCGAGATAACCTCACATACGCGACACGACCGAGCGGGTTCACCGGGTTCAAGACACTTTCAACCTCCTACACTCCGCACCGGACCTGCATCTGGAGCCGCGCAACGTATCTTCGCATCGGAGGTGATAGGTCAAGCCCACGACACACTCTAGCCTCTACTGGTGACCTTTCGGTCTCGCGCCCGACACTGACTTGGCCTGGGCGGTACGGGGAGGCGCTCGGTTCACGCGCGGGTCACGATAGGCCACAAGGCGGGGCTTTGCTAGTGGAGGGGATGGCAGACGGCCGGGCCGCCGCAGTAGAGGCCGAGCGCTCTCGACTTCCGAGGCAGGGAAATTACTCGCGCTGGCAGCTCGGCTGGGCTGCATCTTTGCAATGCGAGGTTGAGGTTGTCTTAGTCCGCGAGCCCTCGTGCCAAATCTTGAGTGGTGATCAGCCAGTGGTATTGATATTCTTTCGTTCTGAACTAACTGAGATATTTCACTTGATTTGAAGTGAACATTCATTATATGGAATTGAAATCTCTCGAGAGAGAGCGTATGTTAACTGATTCAGTTCAATTGTAGTTGGATATTTCGGTTAGTAGAGATTAGAAGAATGTCACTTTTGTATAGTGTTTGAGTGCGCCGAGTCCGACAAGTTTTCGCAGAGAGGAAATCTTGACAGTGCGGTAAGGTTTTTTTTGGCTTCCTAAAAAACATGTCATTTTCGCATTTATACCTATAAAAGGTTCAATGACCATCAACATTTATTTGATTTATTATGTGGGTCGAAAAATATTCACTGGAGTTATTGTGAAAATAATTGTTCAAGGCAGAAATTGTTGTGGAATTAATCCTCATCACTCTAAATATGTCGATTGTAGGTTGGCGAGCGATCTGATTTTTCTATACATATATGCCTATACTATATATAAGTATAGGAGAATACAAAAATCATATTTTCGATGACACTATTGTCCCGATTGTCTGACAAAATAAATATATAGGAATCTTCAGCAGTCCGACGCTCTAAAAATGTCGATTTAACGACAACGCAATAATGATGACATATACCTAACCATCAGCGATATGATTTTGGATTATTTTTCAAAGTAGGTAGTATATAGGATATATACCATTATAATTCAATTCGCTGAAATAGAAAGCACAGGATGACGGGATTGTTTGTATGCACTTAAAATTGGACAAAACGGTTTCTGCTTAGTCTCGACCTGGCTCGAGTCTTCCTTTCGCTTATGACTCGAGAGATTCGGACATTTTTTCACTTCGAAGTTCTTCATCTAGAATTATAGGTAACATAATATTATGATGACTCAGGACGGTCGACATGTTATTCCTAGTTTGCATGTTAAAAAGGGACTGAGACATCAGTGATATGAATGAGATGCTATAACAATATACTGCACATGAACCGGCCCTTTCACCAATTATTTGGTGAAATTGCTCGAAAATGGGTGATTCTCATCACATGTTTCATCTAAAATGATTGAGTAAAAGTCACTCTATAGCTATGGTTTTCTGTTTCTGGTTAGTTTGTCTCAATATTTTTGCTATTCAATCAAATTTGTTATCATTGGGAGGAAAATATCCAATTTTCATTGAGAATTCACTACAAAATTTCACTCAGTAGATTAACTCACTAGTCACTCAGAATGATTTCTCATCACAGTGTATATACCTATTCATAAAACAATGACATGAAAAAAGAGAAAGAGAGCATTATGCTCAATAATTGTCTTAAAATGTAAAATTTTATTGACGAAGTAAGAGTAAAAAAAAATACCTTATAGAATAAAAAACTAGAACTATTACTTAGAGGAATTCGCTACATTAACACCATACACTAAAAATCAATTTGAAACTTAAACACTCTTTGAAGCAATAGGTTCCTACCTATACTTAGGTATATATAGTTCATGAGGAACACATTATAGAACATAATATTGAAATATTTCTATTAAAAATGATTTTATGTTCAAAATGTATCATTGAAAAACTCTTGCATAATATATGCATGTAAATTACAAACTATAGCTAATAGACTACCTATAAGTATAGGAATATAATGGGGTTTATCCGAAAAGAGAGCTTCAATTCTCTTGTTTGATTTTTTCATTGAAACTTCTTTGATACCTTTTGGCAAATGATTAAACATCGTCTGGATGAAAAAGATCGCATAAACTGTTAAAATTTTGTAAATAATGAAAAGGGGTTTGCAGGGATCACGAAGTTTTGCCTTGCGCACGTAAAAGTATACCAATTTCACTGCGCGCTTTTGCAAAACAAAAACTAAGTTGATATGCTTGTCCGACTTAATTGGTGAATTTGTCAACTCGTTGTGTTTTGTGTTTTAACACTAACCAAAACAACGAAGCTATAAGTACAAGAATATCAAAGGTAATTATCAACTAAATTCTAGGTATAATTTTCAAGTTCGCGTTCACTGCACATCAGGTTCTGACATTCCTGTTATAAAGTAGGCAAATATGAAGTATACCTATACCCATTTGAAGGCTGATGTAGCCTAATGTTATATAATTACAATAGATATGATTATATCTACCAAAAAGCGAGTTTCACTGTATTTCAGGAAGATATGGGTGGTGATTTATACACGGTATACATTTTTGAGTTGATTTCAACTCAAGGTCCATTTCAAAAAGTGCAGATAACATTTAAAAAGAGGAATTTAGAAGTTTCAAAGAAAAATATATAAAACTATAGAAATGCAAATGAAGAGGATCCATAATATATCGTGCGATTCTCATTGTTTGAGATCACCAACTGAATTAGAGCCGGAATATATTATATACTGTGTGTGTGGTTATTAGACCATTATCGTCAATGAGCATGCATTATTGGTATGATGGTCCTGACAGCCCTACATTCGGAAAATTGTCTTAATAATGTCTTCTGACACGTATGTTCGTACAATATCAGATTAAATAGATATCTCATTTATAGAGATTCAGATGATCACTCTGATGCGATGATAGTGCAATACTTATATCATGTGAGAGTGAATAAGATGATGATTAATTTAATTTTATATATAATATTATTTTCATTTATTTTTAAGTTAGGAAATAAAATAACCTGGAGGTATATACATACCCGCATGCACCATTGTATTTTTATATATAATCTCTATTATTCCATGTCGCGAGAAATAATGGAATTATTTAATACAGAATTTCAAATTTTTTTATCGGGCAGACAAAATAGTCCAATATTCTTTTGCGAACGGTGTCATTGAAAATCTCATTCTATAATGTATATATACATAGGCGTATATAGGTATTCTCCTGAAAGAAACAGATTGCTGCCTGTCGCCAACGTACCTATATATACAGGGTGGACCAATAGTGTGACAAAGCGAGATAGCAACTCTGCTATTAGAGATAGAAGAGAAAAATGTTCACAGGAGTTGTAAGTTCAAGAGATGCATATTTTAAAATCATTCTCCATTCAACAGTGTGTCTTAAAAAGTGTGACATATCAAACTTATGTCTTATGTTGTTTTAAATGGAACACTCTGTATTTTATTGCATATTTATATTCTCTCTGAAGAACTAAATTCAACGATCTAGCACACTTGGGGTCTGGCAGGAATGATTACCGAGATATAGGATGTGGAAATTCGATGAGATTTTTCTTCAAATTTATGCATGGAAATTTTTTGTGACCAAACTATTCATTATTGGTCTAAACGACTTCCAGATCCCTATCTCAACTTTTGATTTACTATTTACTGACATTTAATTGAAACAAATACAGGGTGGTGTAGATTTCTGAGTTCTGCATCACCTTGTTTCTGTTCCAATTATAAATATGAGTTGATATATAGCAAATCAAAAGTTAAGATAGGGACATGAGGGCCCTTTTGACCGATGATGAATAGGTAGTTTCGACCCAAAAAATTAAAAAATCTTGATTTTCCACACCCTATATAATAATAATAATAATATCTCGCTGATCATTCCCGTTAGACCCCAAGTGTGCTAGATCGTTGAGTTCAGCTCTTCAGAGAGAATATGAAAATGCAAAAAAATACAGGGTGTTCCATTAAAAAAAACATAAGTTTGATATGTCACACTTTTTCGAGACACACTGTATAATGGAGGATAATTTGAAATATGCATCTCTTGGATCTACAACTCTTGTGAAAATTTTGTTCCTCCATCTCTGACAGCAGAGCTGCAATCTCGCTTTGTCACACTTTTGGTCCACCCTGTATAGAGGTCGTGCAATCGACACGATTGAAGTGCTGAGTAACTAGTTGTAAACACCGAAAATTTCTGTCGGACAATTCATCTCACATCACTTTTAGTAGGTAAATATCTTCCACTTCAACTTACAAAATTAAATGCTGATGGTCATAACCTCCAACCTTATATACAGGGCGATTCGTAATTGAGTAGGTATCAAGATTTCAGTGGCTTAGTTTTCAGTTTGAAATAAGACTTCTTTGCCAAAAACAATCATGTGTCGCTAAAGCTATGCGTTATCTATATACAGAGCGTTAAAATTTCAAGCTTTTTTATATGATGTGAGATATCCCACTGACTTTCAAATAATGTCAATAATTATATACCTGTAATATTATGTACTTCAAAACAAACCTATATAAACATCAAAATGGAAATATAGCAGTCAAAGCCAACAACTTCTCTTTCTCATTGTTTCATTGAAAATTTCAAATAGGTATAGGTAAATCTATAGCGAATAACAAAGAATAATTTAATTTTTTTCTCGATGAAGGTCACATGAAACAGATAAAAGTTATAAGTTTATATAGGCAGAGAGCAAATAATTACCTATTTTCGTAGATATTTCAAAATCTTCCAGCGCGGTGCACCACACGAAAGTTCTCCCTGTATAGATTCTTAGAATCATTCGGCATCCTTTATAATGTGAACGCTGAAACATTATCTATGTTTCAAATTTGATCTGAATATCTCGGCAACTAAAAGAGCTATAAAAACAAAAAAATCTTT